TGAATTGATTTTATGCCTGTTACGAGAGCTGCTCATGTGATGAGAATGCCTTCTGACAAACTGACATGTTTTGATAGGTGCTGAGGTAATTGTACAGATTTTTTTAATTAAGCAAAAATTGCAAGTGGTGTATTCTACAGAAGGTTAATCCCAATATCAAAGTTTAAATGTTAGTTTAGGCATTACTAAACATGACCAATCTCTTCTCTCATGCATTTTTTGAAATGTGATGTGAATTGGATGCTGAGGCTGGGCAGCTGTATTATGGGAATGTAAAGTAACTCGTTGCCTGGCAGCTCACAGGAAACATGTCTAAATATTTATTTCTGTGGATCTTTAAAGGAATGAGCTAACAAGCAGCTCTTCCTGTATGTCTTCTTTTACATTTTAATGTCTCTGTTATGTGAGGAATGCTTAATTATTTTAGAATATTCAGATAAGGAATTACTACTTCAGTACTCCATTTTTGTTTTTCTTAGACACTTAGTGGTTGAAAACTATCAACAACTTAGCCAACTGTTAATAATCAATTATTCCTATATGTAGACTTATTTATTCATTCATACAAAAGTTTCTTTGGTTAATCATATATTAATTATGAGAAGTTGGCATCTGTCTTTTGAGACCTTAAGAAATAATTGCTTTAATTATATTCCTTTATACTTTTACAATATTTGTATAGTGATTTTAAAAGAACTAGTGAATCATTTGAGTTATTCTGTATTTTAAATCTGGTACACCAGGCTGTATTTTTCTGAAGGTCTTTATGTTTACTTTCATGCATCTTTCATGTGTTTGTATGTATATGATATATCTGTGTGTGTGTGTATATATATATATAACTTTGCATGACAAACAGTGTTAGAACCTTCTGTTCTCATAGCATTTTTCTTTTAAGCCGAAGAACACTTGACATAAATGCTAATTAAATTTGACGGCAGTCCTTTAAGTGTCCTGAAGTTAGAAATATATAAAGATGACTTTGTCAAAAGAAATACAGCTAGCTACACAAGGGGCATAAACAACTTTTTAAGAGCATATTGTTAAAATCCACAGCAATTTAGAGCCAGAAATCCATTATACGAAGATAAACATAAGGAGGTAATTATGCACAGCAAGTTGTTGTTACTAGGTATATCAATTAGAAGGAGGTAGAAAACAAGCTTAAACGCTGTTTCATGACATATGTCTGTTGAATTTGATGTGGTATGAATGTGTGCTGAAAGTTAAGTTTTTACCTGTTTTGCTGATGGGTCTAAGCTTAAATGTGTGCTCAGTATTAAGCATATACTCTGCTTGTAGTTGGGCTTTGTACGTGTTAGGAACTTTTACAAAATCCTTGTTCTTGACCAAACTATATTATGTGTTTATGTAGCTACCACTGTGCTTTTACAAAAAGATAGCTGTGACTACAGCCACGTTTTTCAAAGGTGATGATGAGGTGTTAATAGTAAATGAAATTATTTTACAGGATACTAAATTTTGCCAGCATGTAAATCTTCCTTTAATGTAGTGCAGCCTAGTTAGCTGTCTTTGGTGCCCTCTAGTGTTCTTCTTACATGCACAAACCATAGTTAAAGAGATTTTAAAAGCAAGCTGCCATATTTGCTTGTCCTGTTTGTTTTTTTCTTTATCAGTCTTCATCCCTTTTTTCCTATGAATGTTAAAAATGCAACAGAAAAATCCATTAATCATTATCACCTCGGCTCATTTGCATCTATCATGATGAAGACTCAGGTATGATGTGCAAGGCCATCTTTTCTGACAAAACTTCTCGTGTAATGATGAGATCTTTTATGTTACAGGCATATCACAAAGTCCTGCGTGTTGTTTCCACTGACGTCTTTTTGAATTTGCTGTCCTGATAATCAAGTCTCTATGATTGCAATTTCATGCTTTAAGGGTTAGTTTTGTTAATCTTCTAACTTATTTTGGTACCTAAGAAGATCCAAAGAGTTAGTCCCATAGGGTTGCAGCATATTGGCAATGTTTCACTTGTACTTGCTTTACGTTATAATGTTGTTCAGAGTTTCTGTAGTTTATTGTCATTTGTGTAGCATTTCAGGAGATATTGGAGTACTTGCTTGTGCGCTCTTTCTGTTGCTGTACAGTGGTGTATCAGAAACACCTGTCAAATACAAGTTTGGTGCTTATTACTTGTACACAAGAGAACAGCAGACAGTTTAATTCCAGAGTTAGCTGTTTTTGATGCTTGGATCTGTTTTCATAAACAGTATGAGAACATGACACTTCAGCTTTAATACCTTATATTTTTTTCCTGGTTAAAATTGAGATTGTGTTTGTTTTTATTTAATCAGTGAGTTTACCTTTTTTAACAACAGATCAAAATTTCTACATCAATATTTATGAACTGTAAAGCATGAATCAGAATTTGTACAAAGGAATTACTTTCATCTCATTTAAATGTGCACTTACATAACTTGGATATACTGGATATTTTTATGAAGTTACTTTTTTGGATCCATTATAGTCTACTGCTGTGTTAGCTAAATCTCATATTTGTGAGAAATACTGGAATGATATAGTTCTGGAAGCAATCTGACTTAAACCACAAAATTAATCATTCTGGGGCATGCACAGGCCCTGGAAAAGTTTTATATTGCTTTCTCTCAGTACCTCATTCCTGATGTAGGGAAAACAGTATTGATCAAAATTGTCATGTACTTCCCTTCTTGGGACAACTATTCTATTAGTACTGAGGTGGGCTTTTGTGATCTTTAGTCTTCTAGGTACTAGAAGATAACTGTTCTCTCTGCCTAGAGACAATAGTAAGATAAAGGCTTCTGACACTCTTAGACTGGAAAATGAGATGCTATTCTTCAGAACAAATTGAAATACTTGATTTGACTAAAGAAATAAAATATCAATTTTTTTAATGAAGCAGAAGATAAGAAAATGGTTTCTTATGACTCCATTTCATACTTGTTCATATTTTTAGCCATCACTTCTTTTCACTAACTTCTAAAATACAACTTTTAAGCTTCAGGAAAGTGTTTCATTTCTGATTTGGGTTTTAGTAAGTTTAGGACCATATGCACTGCAAATGGATATTAATATTAGTCAAGTAAATCTGTAAATCAAATGTAACGGTGCCTTAAACTCAGGGATTTGTCTGCCTGTATGTTAGAGATGCCACATTTGTGGTGCTTAATAGGAGAAATAGCAGTACATTGTGAGTCAGTTTTGCATTGTATTGCAGTACTGAAAGGAGCATTTGGAAATAATAACTTAATCGTTCTGGCACTTTTAAGATGCCATGCAAAAAGGCACTTGTGGACTCTGCTTTCTGAGTACTCCTGTTAGAAAGGGAAAAATACAACTCGTAGAAAACACTGGGGTTAGCAAGAACATTGCGGGGTGGGGGGAGCAAGGTAAAGAAAATCAAAGTTGCCACCAGGAGGAGCAGTACCAAAATACTCTCATTTATTTATTTACTGGCACAGTCCTCTAGTGCTGTAGCTGTAAACTATCTGTATCTTTGGGATATCATAAGTTTTTTAAGGGTAGGGTACTAAATATAGTGTATTAGAATGCAACTAAAAAACCCAGAAAGAATGCACATGAAGAACTTTAATATTTTTGCAAATTATAATCCAGAAAATAATTATTCTTTTGACATTTGCAATTGGAAATTTTAATCACAGATTTAGGACTGTATCCTGGTTTCAGATTGTTATGCTATTAGCCAGACTCTCTGAATCAAAATTAGATCTATTTTTGTGCCTCTGAGTTGAGACGTAATAGAATAGTTTTCAGGAGCTGCTGTATTGGTATTATTGCTAACTACAGTTCACTGTATCTGCTTAGACCAACCATTAGAGAAGCAGGCACTCAGGCAGTGTAGCTAGCTCATGCACTTATGTCTATACTAGAGGCAAATTGTCTGCTGTGTCAGGGAATAACAGGAAAGGAAAGGAATGAGTTCAGTGAGAAACAGAAAGTGCCATACCTTGTAGGGTCTTGTGTGTTTAAAATTTAAAAATTTGACATAGAATGACTTCACAGTGATGGATATTATTTCTTATGTAATCAACAAGGAGAATTTTTAATTCCCCTCCCCCCCCCCTTGGGTAATAGATTTTACTGATACAGAAAATGTGTATAGTCCATTACATTATTCCTGAAATGCTGTGATGTTGTACGTACGTATAATCTAAATCAGGCTTTGGAAAGCAGTGGGATTTCCCATAAATGTTTTCAAATATAGGTATTCCATATGAATTTTGTAATTCATCAACTGGATTGTCACTAGTTCTCTGTTTCACATTCCTGGCCCATTATTGTCACCGATTCAAAGTGCTACTGTATCTCTTCATTATATTAGCTCACCTACCCACTTACCTGTAGAGCACATACTTAACCACTATTTTTCTACATAGTATCAACAAGTAATTTTGCTCACTCTTGTGACAGAGATTTTTTAAAGAGAACTAAATACTTGAAATAAGCCAAGTTGATTTTCTGTTTCTGGGGTAGACTTCCAAAACTGTTTTGGAGGATTGTTTACTAGCTAAATTGAATGGGAGTCTGTCATCTGGGTGTTGTGTGTAATGTAAGATGCTGGGCATGATACTTTAGTTAAGGGTGATCAGCACAACTCCTTGGTGATAGTCCATTGCAAAACAACCAGATCACTTTCTATAAATTGTAGTACTGATATGGAACCCAGGGAGGTATAGTGGGTCATGAAAATCACTGCGATATTCAAAACTGGATACTGATGCAAAGTGGGTATGTGGGCCACGTTGCTGTTATATCCACCCTGCCATACATCTGTGAGAAAGAAGAAAGTTTTTATTCTTCCTTTATATGGAACATTTTTCATTTTTTAATTTCTTTTAAAGTTTTAAACCTGAAAGTCTAGCAGTACAACTAGGTCATAGGAAGATATAAAACTAATGAATAAGCATTTAAATGATTGCTTCTTAACTTTGTTTATTTAAATTATCTGCTGCATTCTGGCAAATGTTTCTCCATAGGATGAAGATGAGCTGGACTCTCACACCATGGTGAAGACTAGTTCAGAAAGCGCTGGTACCATGAGGGCCACAAGCACGATGAGTGAAGGCGCTCAGACAATGATTGAACATAACAGTACTATGTTAGAATCAGACTTGGGGACCATGGTAATAAATAGCGATGATGATGAAGAGGAAGATGGGACCATGAAAAGTATGTTGTTAATTTACTTTCCTTTTCTTTTAATAATATAATGTTTTCTCATACTGCATGAGAACGTTCTATCATCAGTGGCATTTAAGTGTCCAGTTCTGTGGTTAAAACAAGGGCAGAAGGGTATTTGTGTCTCTAAGCACTCTCTGTAGCTTGTGGAGAAAAAGGTGACTATAGTGGGAGACTCAAAGCAGAAGCCCGGTTTTGGTGCTTTGCTAAGCCTCCCTGGAGGACTCTGAAATTAGCCTTCTCTGAATTGTCCTTTCTACTGCTTGTCTCTTGCTTTTTCCCTCCTGTCCCACATACATTTGGACCAGTTCCTTGGAGCTAAACTGGAGTGATGTGATTATGTGAGAAACTGCTGCTTCAATAAGAGTGGTCCTGGGAACTCATCATGGCTCTTCATGGGTTCAGCAATCGGTACACATCTTGCTGCAAAATTGTTTTGTAACTTATGATCAATTAGCAGATTTTTATTTTGTGAGTTATTATTTGAACATTTGTTGGAGTATAATTCAATAATGCTTGATTTAAGGCAATGGTCAAAACCTAAGTATGTTGAAACATAAGTAAAAAGTCTAAATTTACTTAAGCAGCATGTGAAGGAGTATGTAACAAAGAGAAAAAAAATTGCAGATATTTTGAAGAATAAAATTATAAGTTACACTGAAATGTATATAAATACATATTTGTTACATAGTTAATTTACATACTGATGTGCTCATTATTTGGCTGAAGACTACTGCAGAATGAGGCCCACTGAATTTAATAGAATTATTTGTTTTTGCTTAAAATGAGCAGCATCAATAGATGAATCTAACTCAAGCTATAGGTGTCTGGTTTCATGAGGCACAATGTAATGTTTAACCCCAGGCAATTGTTTGGGTGGTGGGGGGAGGTAATATATAAAGCTAATGTCTCAAGAGTGGAAATCAGTGCCAAATAAATAACTTTGTAGAATGCTTTACAGCAAACATACAAGTTGTATTTGTGTTTGCACATATACACCTGATGTGATTTATGCAAGATTAGCTGGAAGTGCAAAGCAGGAATATGTTTTCGTTGCTGTTTAATGTACAGCAAATTAGAAGAAAGGAGGGGTTTTCTTGATTTTTTTTGTTTGTTTGGGGGCTTTTTTGTGGTTGGTTTTGGTTTGTTGTTGGGTTTTGTTTGGTTTTGGTTGGGTCTTTTTTTTATTGTTCTCATCAATAAGATGGCAACCATACCTCCTGATAAGTGATTAGTTTAAGTAGGATGATTCACCTCATGAAGACACTCAGTATGTCCTTTGATTTGTTTTTGTGCTGAAACAGTATTTACCTATTAAACTGTGAGGCTAATGGAGGGATAGTACAAGTGATCTTAAACTCATCAATTTCAACAAGTCAAGGAAAAGATGAGTGGTGATGTAAAAAAAAAAAAAGGTGGAAGATATTACAAGAAAATTTGGAGTAAAGGATAAAAATAATTCTTAGGGTGGAAGTATTATGAAGTAGGGTTTAGTGCAGTTTCTATGCAGCCTGTCAAATCACTTCAGGCTTAATAAACAAGTTCTATATAAGTAGTATACCAAATGGCACAACACTATCCATGTAGCTTTTTTATGTGCTGGGAGGAAATACCTATTAGTATGCCAGACAGATCAAAAAGTGTCATTAGGTTTGCACTGCAATCTCTTTATCTGTGTCCTGTTTCTCTGCTATGTTGCTGGAGACAAATGTACTGTTATTTTCAATTTTTAATTGATTCCAGTAACAGTCTGTGGTTAGAAAGGGAATTACCTTTCTCTACCTTGGCATTTAGTCAGTATAATTCTTAAACCCATTCTTCCTTCTTGTCAAACAAGAATATGTAATCTTTGGGACTGCAGGCTTCTTTCCCTCCCTCACCCCATAGGTGACTCTCTTGAGACCTGTAACTCTAGTGAAGGAAAGCCCACAAACTGAAAGTAGCCTAATGGCAAGTGATGGTTTCACCATTCAGCTGGCAGGCAACAGGTCTGATTCCAGTACTTACTTGCAGAACGTTCTTGTATTTTGCCTGAGACATGCATTGATTAAAAACTAGAAATAATTCAAGAATGGGACCTCTCCATCTGTCAGCTGAAAGTAAATATAATTCATGTCCACTGTAGCTGGTCCTCCTCTGGTTCTGCGATTCATGTGCTGTTGGCTTAAACAGGAGCAATAGCAAGGGTCCTAAATAAATGTCATCAGGAAGGGATATACAAATCCTTTCTCTCCCTGAGAGGCAGACACAGATTTTGTGCTGCTTTGTGCTTGACAAAGACACAAGATTTGGGAGATTGGTTGCTTTTCCCAATATACCTTTATAGGCAAGGTGGGCACTTTCTACATGTTCGAGTGATTTGATTATAGTAAATCAGAACAAGTAGCTTAAAAGTGCTCTTTGATACTTCTGAGTAATAGAACATTGCAAGCAAGAAACTTGGAGAAATAAACTTAGTGAACTAGGGAAGAGAGATTTCATTTCCTTCCTAGAGACACAAAATATTTATGACAAACTTTTTGTTTTGTAATTGCTCTAGTGTTTAGTTTCAGGTTTTGTTTCCTTCTGCCTTTTGTTTCCTTCTGCCTTTTGTTTCCTTCTGCCTTTTGTTTCCCTGCTCAAGGACAAAATAAGAAACAATAATAATTTTTTATTTATAAGTGCCCATGCTTAGAGGCCTCTGGGAGCCATGACAGAAAATAACTAAAACCATATTTTTTTCACAAATAGGGAATTGTGCCTGAATAAAATTGGGATTTGGAACAAAAAGAGGCCTGTCATCCTACCCCAGCCTAGCAATAAACAACATTTATGCCTTCTTGCTTAGTATGCCTGTGCATGCTCTGAGCAGGGACTACATGGTATGTACCCAGAAGGAGGAAAGGAAATGCAGAATACAGAGAGATGAGAGGACAGAGCTTAACTTTAGGAGGTTTACCATGGAGTGGAAGAAAGAGTGGGATTGATGGAAGGTAGTACTGCTTTTGTTCAGCTGCCTGGATTGTTCTTTCTTTCATGTAGAAGCTTTTTCATATCTCAATTCAGAGACAAGTGTTCAAACCAGCTTCCCCACATTCCCTTTGTGGCTTTTTGGCAAGGCTTAGTGTTAGGGCTTTCTGGTGCAGCAAGAGTACTTCTGACTGTTCTCCTTTCTCCTTTTCATTAACCCTTCCCCCCTCTTCTTTTTTTTTTTTTTTTTCCCCCGTTAAATTTGTATTTGCCATCTGCTTTGGGCTGGAAAACAAATTGCGTCTTCTTGCCATTTGGACTTATTCTGGGTATCTAGCTGTTGCGTCAGACTTCAGTGAAGCTTCTAGACAGTTCATGGTTGGTAATGAATATATTAAAAGAGGACAGTGAACTAATGAGGTGGCATTTGACAGACAGAATGTAGAAAAGGGGTCAGGTTTTTACTTTATTATTGCCCTGTAAGACATGATGATCTAGGTTTAGTCAGTATAATTTTTAAACACATTCTTCCTTCTTATCAAAACAGAAGAATATAATCTTTGGGACAGCAGGCTTCCTTCCCCTCCCTCCCCCCCCATAGGTGACTGTCTTGAGACCTGTAACACCAACGAAGGAAAGCCAGCAAACGAGGTAGCCTGATGGCAAGTGATGGTTTCATCATTCAGCTGGCAAGTGACAGGTTTGGTTCCAGCACTTAGTTGCTGAACTTCCTTGTGTTATTGTATTATGGGATCCTTGATTACAGCACGACATGCACTATGCTGTAGAACCTACATTTTGAAAGAGGAATTCATGAGTTGGTTTTGTTGTTGTTGTTTGGGTTTTGGTGTTTGTTTTTTTAATGTTTTTGTTTTGGTTTTTGGTTTGGGGTTTTTTTTGTGTGATTTCAGCGCATGCTGTGTAAGAGATTGTGCCATGCTGTAAGTCAGTCTCCTCTATGATAGGAGGTGGATGCTTGGGTAGCTCTGGAGTGATGCTTTGTAACTCTTAGAAAGGCCTAAGTCCCACAGCTGGTTTTTCAGCTGAAGAGCAAAAGCTATTGATATGTGACTTGTAACAGTCTATGATGCAGGTCCTACAGGAATTCAGCAAGCAAGCTTAATTATGGGCTGGTTTCAGTGGTGCTGTAGCCTGGGCATTGATTTTTCATGGACATAGTTTTGTTCGAGCATGTTTACTGTGCCCACATTAAGACTGTTGGCTTGATGGCATATGCAGGTGTACTAGTGCTTTACTCCTGTATATATAGAAAGAGATGATAGGTGTTTCCAAGCCTATTCCAGTCCTCGAGCCCTCTCCCTGTGGTTGGTGATAAAGTTGTTCATTTATGCCACGAGTAGTGGTATCTTTTACAGATGGGATTTTTTTTCAAAGAAAAACATCCTGTTGGCAATTCTGCTTCAAGAGCTGTTGCAAAATGCTAGCTTAACATGGATTTTCTTTGTTTTGCTGAAAGCAGAAATAAAGTATAACTCAGCTGGAATGGACTAACGGGTATATAACAGTAGTGTCATTGGATATTTTTTCCTTTTCTCCAGGAGGTGGAAAAATAGAACAAAATTTATTAAACCAGTTTTACAATTCTCATTCTTAGGAAGCAAAGCAATGTTTTGTGCAGGAAACTCTTTTCCCCATAAAAAATTCTTTAAACAAGTTCACACTGTTTCAGAAAGTCTGTGAAGGCTTTAGCTGGTTGAAAAATATGTGGATTTTTGTCCTGTTTTCAGCTGGGATAGAGTTAATTGTCTTCCTAGTAGCTGGTAGGGTGCTATGTTTTGAGTTCAGTATGAGAAGAATGTTGATAACACTGATGTATTCAGTTGTTGCTAAGTAGTGTTTAGTCTAAAGTCAAGGATTTTTCAGCTTCTCATGCCCAGCCAGCGAGAAAGCTGGAGGGGCACAAGAAGTTGGCACAGGACACAGCCAGGACAGCTGACCCAAACTGGCCAACGGGGTATTCCATACCATGTGACGTCACATCTAGTATAGAAACTGGGGGAGTGGGCAGGGGATCGCCGCTT